ATAGGGCGACTACTGGCTCAGAAAAACAAGGAGGTGCGGAAAGACCCTCGGGAGGAAGGGCCGGAGGCTGGGGCTGCGGTAGCGCGGCCTAACAAGCGCTCCAGGGACTTCTCTGCTGTGGGTTCGGCAGCCGTGCCGCCGAAGCCGGCATCCCTGGCTACTTCCTCGGCTTGCTTCTCCAGGTGCGACGGCCAGAGCGAAGAGTAAGAGCATCTGGTACATGGACGACGGCGAGATTCCTCCCCCGAGGGCACCGGTGCCATCTTGGGTGAGCAAGGCCTTGGCGAATCCGCCTGAGGAGCGGGCACCGTCGCCTCCCAAGGGGGCGAAGGCTGGGACAGGGGCAGACAGACCACCGACCAAGCCAGCCCCACGTGTGGTGGATCCAGCCGAGAGCCCCTTCGCGCCGCCGCAGACCATGCCTCCAGGACACAGAGGGGCACAAGAAGGATAGGAAACACCGTGCCAAGAAGGACAAGGACAAGGAAAAAGACACGGACCGGTCCAAACGTGACAAAAAGCACGACAAGAAGCACAAAGCCCGCGAGAAGGAATCCAAGAAGGACAAGAAGGATCGGGACCACAAGCGCTCTAGGTCTCACTCCTGGAAGCTGGTGGGCTCCTCTCTCCGGTGCGTGGAGCCGTCGGCGGAGGCAACGGCCACAGAAGCCGCAGGCCCATCCAGGTTGGAGGTTTGCCCTCCGCAGAAGCACCAGCCTTCGGTGTATGAGGAATGTGACTCTGATAGCTGCGAGATGGATTATATGGGTTATGAGGGAGTGTGCACTCATGTTCATGCCCGGGTTTCCCCTCTGAATACCAAGTCCCTCTACTTCACAGAACGGCCCCTGCAGGTAGAGACCCGGAGCTCCCAGCGACTTAACCTGCCCATGCATTGTCCGCACCACAATCAGCCTTGGTCTGCCCAGTGCACCAGTGGTAGCAGCCTCAAATCACCCCTTGCTCACAACAGGAGTCGCTGCCCGCGCCGCAACGGAGGTTCACCTCCGGGGCTTGCACCAGTGCGCCTCACTGCAGCATGCGCACATGGCCTTCACACTGTCAAGCCTGTGAGTTGCGTGTCAGTGGGCCTGTTCAGTAGGGTTGCTCTTCTTAGGCAGGGTAAACGGTCTGCCAGCGCTACCGTGCTTCCTGAAACGGGGCGGCTCATCAAGCAATGCCAGGCCAAGTCCGCACTAGCCCAGTATCACAAGTGCGATAGAACATCCTCACATGGCTCAGCACAGCTTTCCCTCCACCAGCAGCTAGGGACCATCCCCACCGCAGCACATTCTAGTAGTCTGCAAGCTCGCAGCATGGCCAGTTCGTCGGACTCTGGAGGAATTCTTCACTCTCCGGCCACAGACCCACCACCCCTCTCTGATGATGAGGCCTGGTTGGCACCGACGCCAGACTTGGACCTGGAAAGGACACCGGCCATCCCGATGGATCCTAGCGAGGACGATGCCAGTGTATTGGGGAGCGACATTATGTACAGCCCATCTGCAGATCCTCCACCTGCAGTAACAGATGATGAGAGGCTCTGGTCACCTTGTCCTGAGCCACCACCCAGGCAGGCCGCACCGGGCACCCCTGTGGGGCTTTTGCTTGGACGCATACCGCAAAGTCAGGACTACTCGGAGGTTGTCCTCCAGGCGATACGCAGTACTTTGCCCGGCCCTGTACCGAGTCCTACGCAGCATGGGCGGGAGGCAGTTCCCTCGGACCGTGAATGCCCGGAAGAGACCACAACCGTGCGGACGAGAGGCCCCTACATGCGGAGGAGACCTGCGGGTCTAGTGCCGAGGCCGAGTAAAGCCCCACATCTTCGGGAGCCTGACCACGTCAGCCTTCGGGAAGACAAGGGAGAAGAGGAGAGGAGTCGGGACCATGAGCCGACCCCAGCCACGGTTTCGGATGAAGACGCACAGTTTGGCTGGCTTGGAGGCCCCCCGTTACCTGCAAATGATGCTGCACTGCTGGGCATTGCATGGCCGTCCTCCTCGTCGATTGCAGCACCGGGTGTCAACCGCAGAAAAGCTTGTGCCAAAATGCTGGTGCGAGCTGGCTACCGGTGTCCCAGATGTTTCCACGTTTTACGCACGGATTGCCAATGCCCAAGATTGGAGGAAAAATTGCCGTTGGCAACTGCGTTTGGCCCACATACTCTCGCAAGCATAAAGTGGCCAGAACAAGCTCGCATACCTGCCAGCCAAACACCTGACCACCTGATGTCCCAGGGATGGTTCATAGCAGTGTTCCACTCAAATCTTGCGGACCTCCAGTCCGGCATGGATCAGAACCAGACTCAGGTACTCCCCTCGGCTGCTCGACCAGCAGCTGCAAGGCCGGCGGGCAGCAGCTCCCCTACCTGCTGCTGGGGACCTAGATTCTTCAGAAGGCGGTCAGTGCTAGTCCGGGATGCTGGTAGGCGCCTGCTCTGGACTAAGCTGAGGATTGACTGGTCCCGCCTGAGCCTGCTCAGCACCCCTCCATACCGGCAGCACATATCAGAGGTGGTTTCAGCAACACAGGAGGTCTCCTCCGAATGCACAGGGTCCGTACATAAACCTACAGGACACAACGCGCAGAGCCGCTCGGGTCCCAAGTCCCGAGGTGGTTGGTTGCTCGGTACTATGTTCATGCAAGGCTTTCTAACTACCTGCAGCACCGCCACAGACGTGAGGGTAGGGGGAGGAGTCGCGAGTCCCCCTGAAGCTTACCGTGCTAATTGCATCCCTAGCTTCACAACACAAGCAAAGCCTCGCGGAGATGCCACACAACAAAGGCATTCCAACCCCATCCGCTCGACTACCTATGATAAGCTTACCAAAACTGGCAAAAGATCCTTCCATAGGGCACTCAGGCGTGCCCAACAGAATGGAGTCACCACATACCGCGGCCGCCAACACACCCTTCAGACCCTAGGCGCAGATAGATTGGCCGATTCCAGTAGTGGTCCCTCGCGGTCTATCGGAACACCAGGAAGACCTGGCCCGCTGCAACAGCACCCAGCTAGGTGGCGCCTCCTAACGTGGAATACTGGAGGACTGAGCACCACCCGTTTGGCGGAGATAGAGACATGGCTAGATGTGTGCAATCAATCAGGTACCACCATTCATGTTTGCATCCTCACTGAGACCCATTGGTCCTTTGACTCGGAGTGGATGTCTTCCCACTATCATATGATTCATACGGGACTCAGCAATAGGAAAGCCGGTATCCTTGTTATGATACACAAGGGCCTAGTCTCCGCGTCTGCCATTCGTACCACAGCTCCCATCCCGGGACGTCTCGTCATGGTGCGGCTAGAAACTTCACCGGCAATCTGCGTCATAGGCACTTACCAGCACGTGTGGTCTGAGGCGAAAGGTGCAGTAGAATGTGAGGCAGAAAGGGAAGTTTTCTGGACCCGCCTACGTGAGCTGGTACGAGGAACACCGTGGCGCTGCCAGCTGGTACTGGCTGGAGACTTCAACACTCCCTGCCAAGAACAGGCCCCGCACGTGGGCACAGGGTTGACTCCTATCACAGGAGCTGTTAGACAAAAGGATCAACACAGACTACAACAACTCATCGTGCACCACAACTTGGTGGCCCTGAACACGTGGGGTCGAAGAAGCTACAGTCACACGTATCAGTTCGACCATGCAGAGGGTCAGCATCGTACCCAAATAGACTTCGTTCTGTGCCGAGCCCAGCACGGAGACCCTCTCGCTAAGGGAGCGCGTACGATACGGGCTCCGTTCGTGCCGGACAAGGGCATGCGCCACTTCCCGATTCTAGCCTCCCTGCCGAAGCCTCAGCCACCCAGGCAGAGTCGAGCTAGGCAACCCTCTGTCTTAGCCAATGAGGTTACGCAGCACTTGCAAGGTCATCCCGACCTTGCGGATCAGTTTCGGGCTAGAATGGGCCAGATCATGCCACCGTTGACAACCATACACGATGACCCTGCTCTAGTGCTAAATCGAGTGATTATACAAGCCTGGAAGGATATTGGACCAGCCGGGAAGCCAGTGCCTCCGCGTGAGTCCCCACGCAGAGAGGTTGGTCTCGTCCGACAGCTGTGGGCACTACGACGACAGAGGTCTCAACCGCCAGGCACTCACTCTGTTATCCGGGGCTGGCTTCTAGCTGCCAAACTATCCAGACTGCAGCGACAACTCCGCAAAGCCTGTAGGGAACGCAAACGTGAACGAGTGGAAACTTTGCTCCAGGAAGCGGAGGCCTCCCAACATCCCTCAGCCCTGTTCTCTGTGGTGAGGCGCTTGGCTCCCAGAGCCAGAACCATGAGAATCCAACTCAGAAATGATCAGGGAGTGCTCTTAGCCGGAAGGGACGAATCAGAGCACATAGCTGACTTCTTGAGGGGAGTTTACCATAGTCGTGAAGTCTCGCAGCTACCACCAGCCTCAGGCATACAAGGAGTGCACTTCTCGTACGGAGACTTGAAGCTTGCCCTGTCGAAGATAAGTCCGAGAAAAGCACTACCAGCTGGCTTTGCCCCGGCCCGTCTCTGGAAGTTAGCAGCGGATCAGGTTGTCTCCACGCTCCTGCCAGCTGTGAACCTGAGCGACTCGGTTTTGCATGAGGACTGGCATAAAGTACAACTTCACCTCATCCCAAAAATTCCCACTGTCAGAGAACCCAAGAATCTGCGGCCAATCGCTCTACTACATCCAGGCAACAAGCTCCTAGCCATCATGTTAGCCGGCAAGGTAGAATCCAAAATAGAGAGTTATCTTCGGGAGGTGCCGCAATGGGCATACCTCAAAGGCCGTTCAACAGCTGATGCCCTTGAATCAGTATGCTCACATTTCCTTCAGGCCCGTAACCTCATTGTCAGTAGTTCCTCTTCCCTACCTCAGAGGTTTCAAGGCGGTCAACCGCATAAGCTAGTAGGAGGTCTGTCAATCAGCCTAGACATCAAAAAGGCCTTTGACAGCTTACCACATGATTTCCTAAGAGAATCGATGATCGAAGCGCAGTTTGAGCCACAGGAAATCAATTTGGTCATGCACCTTCACAACCGTGCGCGTTTGCAGGTGGGCAAGCCGGCTGAAGCGGCTGACGTTTTCCTGGGTACGGGAGTCCGGCAGGGATGCTCGCTTTCTCCACTACTTTGGGCATTGATCACCGGGAGGGTGTACCGCATGTTTCAAGCAGAGCTGCGCAGCCAGTCTCTCTCAGAGGGCCTCATCAACATTTTTGCTGACGACTTTTTCGGAAGCTGGCTGGTGAAGGACTCCCTAGCCTTTGCCAGGGCCATCAGAGCCATTGGCGTACTAGTAGCCACCCTTCAAAAGGCAGGCCTCCAGCTCAGTATGGAGAAGACTGTCATCTTGCTTGCCTTGGGTGGCACCAGTGCACCATCTGTTCTGGCCAAGCACCGTAAGTACATCGAGGATGTGCCCCATCTAGTCATCCCGGTTGGTCAGTCTAGGCTTTCCTTCAAAATCGCGACTACGCACCGCTATCTAGGCGCCAAGCTGGCTTATAAGGGGTTTGAGCTCTTGAACCTTCGGCACAGACTGGATGTCGCATGGGGCAGCTTCTGGCGCCTGCACCATATTTTCAAGTCCAGAGCACTAGGCCTTGGAACTAAGGTTCGGTTATGGAAAACCTGCGTCTTCTCAGTACTCAGATACTCCCTTCACAGCGTAGGTCTGCCATCGCAGGGCCCTCTTCTAATTCGCCAAGCAGTTAATCGGCAATTGCGAATGATAGCCCGTTCCCCAGCTCACCTGTGGCACATTCCCTCAGCAGAGATCCTCCAGCGCCTCAAGGTAGACGACCCCTGGTATGTCTTATGCCAACAGCACTCGAGTACCCACGCTAGGCCACAGCTCTTTCTAGACAGGCCAGGCATCGCACCATGGCTGGAAGTGTTGAGGCAAACCTTCAGGTACTCCTCCGCTGATTCTGACGTAACACCCTCCGCTGACGCCGCTGGCCCTCAGGCGCAAGACCTTGAGGTGGACAGGCGGGCTCACGCTCCTAGGGAACTACTGTGTAGCCACTGTCAGCGGACCTTTGGCTCTCTGGGAGCCCTTAGGGTGCATGAGAGAGCCGTGCACACCCTCGTCCCTCCGAGCGAGGAGGTTGCTGAAGCAGCGCTGGAGGTAACAGCCCCTGCTTTGGAGTGTACTGTGGACAAGCCTCTCCGGGCCGATCCGGACAAGTCCCGAACTAGACGTCAGGTCCAGGCTCACGCGGAGGATGCCTCCATGCAGATAATGCTGCCAGCAGAAATGCAGGGGGCGGATCCACAAACGAGATTCGTGTGGTTACACTCCTCGCAAGGACTGTGCATCTGTCGACACTGCCATCGCTCATGCCACTCTTGGGATGACCTGAAAGTCCATATCTTTACCAAGTCGTGCAGTGCGCTCTATCCGGATGGAGAGGTACTACTGCTGCCTGAGCCAACAGAGAACCGACCGGCGGTCTATTGGGACAGTCGAATCTCAGAATCTGTACATGATGGATGGGAGAAAGTGAGCTCTCACCTGAAAGCTTCAGGAGACCAATTGAGCCAGTACTGCCCCATCTGTAACCAGTGGATGGTTCGCTTTCGGGGCATCACTCATCATGTCAAAGCTTTCCATCCTTGGGCCTTATCAGCACTAGAACACTCCCGCAGTTCAGCTCAAAGTCAGAGACGACAGCTCGTCCTGTGCTCCCCCTGCCGCTACTGTGGAAAGGCCTTCAAGTGTCATCAAACCAAGCATGCAGCAGAATGCCCCATCATACTGCTAGCGAAGTTTCTTACTGCATTGTGGCTTCCACCCACCCTACCTACTCAACAGCGTGGATCTGGAGGGAGTCTCCCGGGACGAGCTGCTGGAAGCGGCAGCGGAACTGCAGCACATCCAAACCATGGCAATCCAGGGACAGAACTTCTTCGGACCACCACAGGGTCTTTCGTCTGCCATGCCAGCCCTCCCTCCGACAAACACCATGGAGGTTCAGACCCCTCCGAGGCACTCCGAGTCACGGCAGCAGCCCAGGCCCAGTCAGTTCCCTTCGCAGCCCAAGTACCCCAAAACCAACGGCAAGGGGACGGATCAGGGCAAAGGTCAACAACACGAGGCCTCAACGGAGAGTCAGCAACAAACCCAACGCGGTCGCCACAGGCCGCAGTTCCAGGGACAGCCGAGCAATGCCCAGACAAGCCGCTCAGGCAACCCTCGCTCCAGGACTTCTGGAAGCGACAGCCTGGTGGAGCACATGGCCCAACTGCTCATCCGACACGACAACTTTTGGAACGGAATGCAGACGTCAACGGGATGGATCATGTTTCTCGGCACAGCACCGCCTCTCACCACATTGCCGCTCCTGCATCAGATCGGCACCGAGTGGCACCGCATGAAGGCCGAGGAGCCAGCAAGCCTCCAGCAGCCGATGAGGGTCATCTTGTACCAGACGTGGGCCAACGAGATGCGCAAAAGAGTCCACGAGCTGCAGACGGATCAGGAAAAGATGCAGGAGGCTGTCCGCAGGGGAATCCTGACCGAAACAGGCCACTTCAAGTTTGTCCAGTGGAACAAGGAGGCACAGGCACTACGCGAGGTGACCAGCATTGCCCCGTTGAGCCTACAGGAGGTTCTCTCCCTCCTCGACGAGTCCATAGTGCTCAGCATTGTGGACGGGGTTCTCATCAACTTCCACCCGACCAGGACACTGGCAGAGCACATGACCGGCCCGACGGTCACGTTCAGCTTAACAGTGGGTCTTCGAGAGCCGAAGGCGTTTCGCTTTTGGTCAATCATGGAGGCACTGTCAGGCAATGCATCGCTCCAGCTGGTGGCGACCACCCTTCGTCGGGAACGACGCCAGAGATCGGCCCTAGCCCAGACCATTGCGCAGGAGCTGAGACGTCAGTAGCTCTTCAGCACATATGCAAACTGGCCCTAAGCAACCGTGACAACGAGTGCTACATGAATACGGCCATCCTAGCTTGTATGTGGGTTTCAGAGATCTACGCCCCGTCTCAGGTCTGGGTGAAAGACGCCCTCCATAGGGATCTGTGTGCCCTTACGGTTCAAGAGGGCCCCACACATATCTGGTCACGGCCATCGTGGCGCAGGTACATGAATCGTTGGCCTCACTGTGGCAGACAACACGACGTGGCGGACTTTCTAGGACATTTCCACCAGGAATGTCAACTTAGGTGGTTTCAGGGCACTTGGGCCGTGCTGGCTGATGGCTCCTTGATAGATAGTGGGGGTGTGTGCCCACTCTTCTTGAATAGGACCCTTTCGGATTTGCCAGCTACGCGTGGAGTGTGCTCCCTGCAGAGAGTCATACATGAGTGGCACAGCTCCGTAGGCATTCCCACCCTTACTGCCGACACCGCCTGTGTTGCGATTCAGCTCAATCGCTTCAGGACAGAAGGACGCACAGTGAGCAAAGACTTTACGGCAGTAGCTCTGCCACGGAGTGTCGACCTCCCCTGTTGGGTAGCAGGTACAGTGAGAGAGCGTAGCTTTTGCTTAGGCGCAGCTATAGTTCACTTAGGAGCAACCCCAAACAGTGGACACTACCGTACAGTTTTGCTTGAGCCTACAGGTCGGATGTGGTGGACTGAAGATGGTGTTGCTGCTTCGCCTGTTGTTCGTAGCAATGTCCCTGTCATTCTTCGTAATGCTTATGTACTGCTTCTGTATCCGGACCCTGGAAGGCGGTAGTCAGTTTTGGCATCAAGCTCTCTCTGAAAGTAGTTCAGCCTGGTGCTCAAGGGCCCTACGGGGCGGCTAGGCTAGGATGGGAGGAAGGTAAAACGCCTTGCAGCACAGCTGCCGCGCAAAGCGTGCCCTCTTCGCTGAGCAGACTTCGGACACTGCTGCGAGTGTGAGTGAGTGAGTACTACTACGACGACTACTACGACTACTACGACTAATAATAAGAAGAAGAAGAGGAAGAACAAAAATTAGTGTAATGCTGCGTGCATTATTCTATCACCGTCACAACCACCACCAGGGCCATCGCTACCACAACCACCACCGCCACCACCACCACCGCCGCCGCCAGCACCACCACGATCCCGGATCCCAAAACCACCACAGTTCTACAACTAGTCGGCAAAAACAAGAAACAAGCCACAGGCGCTTCAGAGTGAACCCAGAAAATGATGTCAATGTAACACCCCAAACCCTGTGGTAATGCAACTAATTACTAACTCATATAGCAACCCACTTGCAAACCGAAACCGTACCCCGAGTCCCTTCCTGAGGCGGCTGTGGCGTGCGTGGACGGATAAACCTCGACCGATGGTGAGGATTGGGGTCTGCAGGTTCTGTGGTTTCTGGATTAAGGTTTCAGGATTTGGGTTCATACTGGTTCTCTTGAGGGGCTTCTCAAGGTTTTGCCTGTCTTCCTCTAGGTTCTACACGGACGGGATGTAGGATTTAGGGGTCTCGGGGTTCTGTTAGGGTTCTCTACGGGTTCTGCGAGGGTTCTTTCAAGGGTTCTACACGGGTTCTAGGATTTACAGTCAAGGTTGGGACTTGGGGTGTAGGGCTCGGGATGTAGGCTTTAGGATTCAGGAGTTGAGGATTTGGTGAAGGGCTGTGGCCCGGCCACACTATATGAGTTTCCAGGTTTTCAAACGCCTCGCCTCATGCCGGAGTCTCGACGAACTTCAAGCCCAGTTCTGCTTGAGGTCCTTCCGTGCCCTCCTTGCCCGGAGCTCCTTCTCTAAACCCTAAACCCGAAGTCTAGCTCAGCTCCCAGGACCTAAAGAACCCTGTGCCTGGCCAAAAGGTCAAGGTCTCCTGTGCCCGAAAATGCGAACTGAAATGGAATGGGGACCCTGTAAGTGTAAGAGGCCCCCCACCCCGCCCCCTGTTTTTCAATAAAGGCCTAACTAGTATGATCCGCAATGCAATCCTTATCATTAGAGATGCGTTTATTGTTGAACCCTGGCGAGCCTTCTTTGCGAAATCCAAACTCCGATCCCCAACGCGAAGCTCAAATTCCCAGACCGCACAGCCGAAATCCTAAAGACCAAGATGAGAGGTGCGCTTCTCCGGAGGCATCGGGTTCGTGACAACCTCGGAAACAGCTTGCAGTTCGCACACCCTGGGTTTTGGAGTTTAGGCCTTTGGGTCTACGGGTTTCGGCTTTAGGCCGTTAGGACTTCTGAGGGCTTCTGGGGTTTGGGGTTGCAGGGTTTCAGGGTTCACGATTTGGATGTGGGTGATTCGGAGTAAAATGAGTAAAACAACAAAGCAAAGCGAAAGAGGACGTGCATCACCTTGACTTCAGGGCTCAACTATAAACCGGCGAACTTTTGCAGAGTGACGTACTACCGGGAACTCCATAGTTAGAAGAGGTTTTAGGGTGCGTTATCGTATAGCTATACAGGGACTACATGGGGAAACTATGCTAAATTATGACTAAGAGTTCGGCCGTCGAACTTCACATTAAAGGAAAGAGGTCTACATTTTACCCGAGAGCGAGACCCTCGAATCCTAAGCACCACCTGGCAATCCGAAGTTCACGAATCCCAAAGGCCTCTCCAAGCCCTGAGCTCCTTCAAGTCTGAGAAGACCAACACCAGTCATAGCAGTCCGAGAGAGAAACTAGAAAGCACAAACCCGGACATCCTGAGCCGAACCCCTAAACCCATAGACCCAAATTGGTAAACCCTGAACCTTTCAATCTTAAACCCTCAACCCAAGGTCCAGGCCGTCACTGGCTCGGAGTACTCCCCCTGGCCCACGGCATTCACGGCCGAGACCTTGAAGTAGTAGAGCGCCTCCTGGCGTAGTGCAGGTGCTGGCGATGGCGAATACAGTCTTGTATGTCATAGCATAAAGGGACTCCAAGGAGTTCGCAGTATTCGTTTTAGAGATAAATACCTACTCTTGCGAAGGTGGCCCCGGTGCTTGTAGATTGGCGTCTTATGGCTGGCTTGACATTACCCTTTAGGCGCCCTGCATGAAATGCATGAAAGGGCTAAGGCTTATTCCAGGGTGCTAGAATTTGGTTTCATGTTTATGGCTGTGGGCTTTGGGGTTTTGGGGCTTTAGGGGCCTTGGGCTTAGGTGTGTCCCGGATTTCTGGGGCTTGGGGTTTAACTTACCTGCGTAATCGAAACACCCATCTGATAATGTCGATGAAGATCAGGACTGCTTATTCGCACAGTAGCACACCCCAACCCCACCCCACATGTGTTGCCGAGCGCTTCGAGGCTTCAGAAGGTAGCTCACATGGACCTCCCCTCCCACACGTTCAACAGCACTTGAAGTAGCCGCTGTCGAATTCCGGGAAAGCCCTGCTTAGACTGCTAGGCACGAATCGAAAGTTCTCCTGCAACCCAATACCCAAACCCCCCAATCCGTAGACTCAGACCCTTCACCCCAACCCCCTATCCTAAGGCACACATCCCAAGACGCTCCGGCTTGAGCTCATAAAGGTTGGCATCTCGCATGGCCTGGTCGAGTTTGCGTTCTCAGTTCAGGGTTTGAGGCAGAGCCACGCCTCCAAACCTAAAGCAACAAAGGTAAGACCTGAGATCAGGGCCTTAACAACCAGAACATGGCTCTGGGTATACTTTCAGTTAAACGGAAGGATATACTATACGGACAGTATGGGCAGATTGATATTTCGTGTGTACTACTAACTACTACTACTACTACTACTACTACTACTACTACTACCATTCCTACTGCTACTGTTACTGCTACGGCTACCGCTACCGCTACTGCTCCTGCTGCTGCTGCTACTGCTACTTCTACGATTACTACGACTACTTCTGTTAGCACAGCAACATGTAGGTGCTCTAGTTGTTCCAATCGTCATGCCTACTCAGGTTGAATAATATCCCAACAGCTTTTCCTGTCAGATACCAGGGGCTGTTAAGCAACTGGGTGGCGGTCAAAGGATCTTGTTGTTGAGGTGTCAAAATTTCCACATTCAGTTAGCAGTCTTTGGGCGCTCGACGCTATAAGGGCTTGGATGTAGGGCTGTGCAGCTGCCTGTAGGTCTTGCCAGGGTATGTTGCAAGTGTAGCTGTTGGGCGCCAGGGGACCTCCTGGTGTCCCTACAGCCACAGGCTGGGAAGGATCAGCCCAAAGTAGTTGCTGTACCCTAAACCGTGAACCGTGAATCCCAAGCCCTGAATCCGAGATGCTACCCCCACATCCAACAAAAAGAGGTTCCGAAACAAGGGCCTTCAAGTTCACTTCTCTGGATGACGAAAAGTCTTCGTACTCGGAGAAGCTGACACGATACCTGCTGCTCCAGGGCTCAACCAGCCGTCGAGATTATGGGCATGAGGTCTGCTCCTCTTGCAGCTGCCGATGCTCACCACCCACGAAAAGAGCTGATCAGGGTTTGGCCCTGGATACCAGATCACGGGCCTTTAAGCCGCCATGTCGGCTCCCAAAACCTCTTCGAGTCCAACCCCGCAAATCCCTATACCGCTACCTACTTACCATAATCCCAATCCCGACGCAGCGTATATTATCCCCCTAAACTTGTATGCCCAAAAGTCTGCCGAGTCCACCGGGTGATCATGCAGCCGCCATCCTGTTCTGGCTTCGCCCAGCTCAAGTGGACGGCCTCGATTTGGACTGAACAGCATTTTGGCCATACACAACTCTATTTCTCTCTGTGTGTATATAAGTGTGCGTATGTATATATATATATATGGTAGC